AAAAAAAAAAAAAAAAAAAAAAAAGAATATTTCCAAACTGATGGCCATGTTATTTCTGTGGCGGGGAATCTGGGTGGGAAAAGAGAAGCTGAGACCATCATTTTTTGCTTTATAAACTGTCATACTATTCAAATTTTAAGAAAAAGCAAGCTTAACACAGTAATAACAGAGACTGTCATTCAGCTGACTGATCCTAAATTCTAAGAACCATAAAAAGTCCCTTAATCATTTATACGAAGAAGTCTGTGATTAAGGAAAGCATTAAAATGGCACACTTAAAAGACAAGTCATACTGAAAATACAATAGCCACCAAACCATCCCCTCTTGTAATTTTCCTTAGTGTTGTTTTCTATGTGAAAATAACAGTGAAAAAAGAAAAGTGAAATTTGTTAAACTAGCCTGCCCTTTCTTGTAACCACTAATCAGGAGCAACAATCAGCCCAAGAACAGAGCAGAAGACATAGAGATCCCATCCTAATGAGAGGCACACTTGATGCCCATATACCCTCTTCCTTTGGAACATGGCTCGGATTAGTTCCTCTTGTACAGAGTGATGGCTTCTCCCTTTCACTAGACAATTACACTATGACTGCAGCCTTATAATTTGCTGTCCCCAGCCCTAACCAAAAGATGATCCTTACCAGGGCCAGACCAATGGTATGTCATTCACAGCATGATGCTAGTTTCTAGATGCCTTATTAAAAGCATTTACTTTCTTCTTTCTCTTTCTCCCAAAGTGCAGGGATTACAGGCGTGAGCCACCTTGCCTGGCCAAAAGCATTTATTTTTAATGTGTAATAACTACAATATGGTTTTAATAAAATCCAGCAAAATATACGTATATGGCTAAAAAGAATGTATATTTAAATTAAAAAAAATTAAATTAATTTTTAAAAAGTGAACTGTAATTATCGTTGCCAAATCCAAAGAAGAAAACTTAAAGACAGTAACTTGGAAGATACAATATAGTCAATGCATGCATAGAATAAAAAACTCATTACTATTCATGATAAAGAGAAATTCCAGAGAAATAAGCAACTTAAGCCTTACCCAGCGGGCCAGATGATCTCATGGTGAAGGACACAGATTTGATGCATCTTTCTTCCGCACTCTGTACATTCAACAAACCTGGAAGAGCGGAGCCAATTCCAAGAAAGATTAATCGCAAACCTTAACCAAACAAAAACTTCAAATATTTCCCATGATTCCTGACAAAGATACCCAAGGTCATGATCAAAGAACTGAGAACAGTTTTAATAAAGTTTCTTTCTTTTTTTTTTTTTTTTTTAGATAGGGTCTCATTCTCTTGCAAAGGCTGAAGTGGGTAGCATGCTCACAGCTCACTGGAACCCTGAACTCCTGTGCTCAAGACATTTTCCTGCCTTGGCCTCTCAGCTACCTCACTGGGACCACAAGCACACACCATCATGCCTGGCTAATTTTTCTGAGACGGAATCTCGCGCTGTCACCCAGGCTGGAGTGTAGTGGCATGATCTCAGCTCACTGAAACCTCTGCCTCCCGGGTTCCAGTGATTTCCCCTGCCTCAGCCTCCCAAGTAGCTGAGATTACACGTGTGCACCACCACACCCAGCTAAGTTGGGTTTCACCAAGTTGGCCAGGCTGGTCTCCAACTCCTGACCTCAGGTGATCTATCCACCTTGTTCTTCCAAAGTGCTGGGATCACAGACATGAGCCACTGCTCCTGGCCAAGCCCAGCTAATTATTAAGAGACAGATTACTGGTGTTGAAAATTCCAAATGAATCTAATACCATCCCATCCATTTTAAGAACATCTAGAAAACATACATTTCAGTCCTTCACGCTCTAAAAGCCTCGCTGCAAACTAAAGGTTTAGATCTTTAATGTTTTCCATTGAACATTAAGAACATTAAAATTAACATTAAAAACTTATGTCTTCTGCACAGGCAAAAAAAAAAAAAAAAAACCTAACGTTTTTTAGTTCTTCAGTGTTTTCCATGGTTTTACTACTCATTAGATGTATGTTATACAGACTTAGCCCAAGAATACAAGATCATCTGATGGATCACGCAAACAAAGAGAATAAAAGGGAAAAGGAAAAATCAAAGCTTATTTTCAAGGGGGTCTTACTTACAGTTCAGGATCCAGTGTGTCATTTTTTCTCTTGGAAAATTGTTCTTTATTTATTGTACTAAGGAGAGAAAAGGGATACAATGAGAAAAAGTGATAGAGATGAGCAAATGGACTGCTGCTCTAACCAAAGGAACAAACTTCACACTATAAACGGATTTAGGTCTTTTAAGAATACACATTTAAATAGATGCATTCTTGGCTCACACAAAATGCATGTTTATGTAAAGGAATATTCTACAGGACTTAAGAGGAAATACATTTCCTCTTATCAGAAATGGAGAACCCAGGAAGAACTAGAAAAACTATTCCTTCTTTTCCTTTTAAAATCTTGCGCCGGGCGCGGTGGCTCAAGCCTGTAATCCCAGCACTGTGGGAGGCCGAGGCGGGTGGATCACGAGGTCAAGAGATCGAGACCATCCTGGTCAACATGGTGAAACCCCGTCTCTACTAAAAAATACAAAAAAATTAGCTGGGCATGGTGGCGCGTGCCTGTAATCCCAGCGAGTCAGGAGGCTGGGGCAGGAGAACTGCCTGAACCCGGGAGGCGGAGGTTGCGGTGAGCCGAGATCGCGCCATTGCACTCCAGCCTGGGTAACGAGAGCGAAACTCCGTCTCAAAAAAAAAAGAAAAAGGAAAAAAAAAAAAAAAAAAAAAAAAATCTTGCCTATTACTATTCTTGGTGTGAGGTATTTGTATCTTTTTATGGTTTAATGTTCCTCGACTGAGTTACAAAAAATGGCATGTATACTGGGAAGTAAATCACTATTTAAATAAAAAGTTTTCAGGAAGGGTCTTGTTGCACAACTTTTTACAACAGAAAATTTCAACACTAAGAATACATGTAGGCTGGGCATGGTGGCTCACGCCTATAATCCTAGCACTTTGGGAGGCCAAGGTGGGTGGATCACCTGAGGTCAGGAGTTCAAAACCAGCCTGGCCATCAAGGTGAAATCCCATCTTTATTTAAAACAAAAAAAAAGTTTAAAAAAAAAAAAAAAAAAGGTTGGGTGTGGTGGCTCAGCTTGTAATCCAAGCACTTTGGAAGCCAAGGTGGACGGATCACCTGAGGTCGGGAGTTCAAGGCCAGCCTGACCAACATGGTGAAACTCCGTCTTAAAAAAACATGTCTTGGGGTAAATCTGAAGGACGAAAGTTCCATATTTCACATTTCAAAATTTCACATGGCTTCCCATCCTAAAACCTAGCATACCACACTGCTCATAGCCTTACTACATACAAAAGCCAACAGTTCTTACCATTCTCCCAACTAGAATCAACATTAGGGGGCCCAACTTGGACTACTGTTATTCTTCCTTACAAAAATGAGGACATGTCCATACTGAAAACTGTTTCTTATACTAGTTATGGCCTAGAGATTCTTTCGTCTCTGTTGATAGCATTCTCCTGAATGGCCTATCTTGCTACTCCAAGTGCTACTAATAAGTCTAAGACCAGCAGCACCAGAAGAAATCTCGGAGTTTGTTAAAAACAGACACTTGTGTCCACTATAGACCTGCAGAATTGGGAGGGGTCTTGTTCCTATACTTTCCAAAGCTAAAGATACACTGCTTTCAGGTTTAGAATATTTGGTAAGCCACTTGAGAGAGTTCAATGGCAAGGATTATGTCTCTTCCTGAATCAAGGAAACTTACCCTAGAGCTGACCTTCCTGGCTTAACCAAGTGTCAAAATGTTTCAAGGATCATAGGCTCCCAGTATCTACTCTCCTAGCTGGCACTCAGACGCTGCTGTTTTTACAACTTAATTTAGAAAAATTAGGCCGGGCGCGGTGGCTCAAGCCTGTAATCCCAGCACTTTGGGAGGCCGAGGCGGGTGGATCATGAGGTCAAGAGATCGAGACCATCCTGGTCAACATGGTGAAACCCCGTCTCTACTGAAAATACAAAAAATTAGCTGGGCATGGTGGCGCGTGCCTGTAATCCCAGCTACTCAGGAGGCTGAGGCAGGAGAATTGCCTGAACCCAGGAGATGGAGGTTGCGGTGAGCCGAGATCACGCCATTGCACTCCAGCCTGGGTAACAAAAACGAAACTCCGGAGCCAAAAAAAAACAAAAAGAAAAAAAAAAAGAAAGAAAAATTAAACACAGCTTTTCTCAGAAGCCCCATTTACTAGGAACAAAACAATTCCATATTTTTGTGCGATGTTGTAAACAGAATATGAACCTACAATAAGAAAATTACACTAAGCAATTTTTCCTTCTTCAACAGTCCAAGTTTGAATTATAGTGACTGCCTCAATCTTAAGAGATTACTACTATTACTATTAGACTGTGTTTGAAATTTTTTTCTTGACCATTTACCAAATGGTAAGAGCTTGTGAGATTGCAAAGCCCAAGCAAGTCTCTTAAACCCCTGCATGTTGTTAAAGTCTATTATTCACTAAAATAGTGACTTGCGTCTTCTGTTAACCTACAAGAGAAGGGTATAAGGTGCTTATCAGCTTAATTACCCTCAAACTCAGAAAAGTTAATAATGAAGTTTTCTTGTACTAAACTTTCAATTTTTCAAAGAGAAACTGATTGCTTCCTATACAGAATAACTTTTACTGTAACTAAGATGACTGCCTACTGCTGACATATTCCCTAGTCCAGTGATGTCTCATAGAGCTTTCTACTATGATGGATATATTCTCTGGGTTGGCCAATATGGTAGCCACCAGACACAGATAGCTACTGAACACTTTAACTGTGAGTAGTCCATGTGATAAACAATTTTTAATTTTATTTAATTTGCATTTAAATAGCAAGACGTGACTAATGGCTACCATATTCAACAGCATAGTTTAAGTTCATTTAGAAATAAGCCTGTGTATAATCACGTGACAGCAACTAATTAGCACTTTTCAAAATAATGGTTACTTACGTTTGAGGCTGGGAAGGGTCATCCCCCAAAGAAACGCTCTCCCCTTGGATTTCATTGAAACACTTCTCACAGAAATGATACCTGTCGGCAAGAAGGCCATACTGGGGTGAACTGTTCCGTTCACACAACACAGCCCAAGCCAAGCAACGAAGCCACCAATCACAGCAGGCCAAGGAGGGGGACGGGAGCAGAGAGCAGGTCATCAACGGCGACAAGGACATTCAATGATGCAGATATATGGGCCCCACAGTTTGGGTTTTGTTTTGTTTTTTTTTTTTTTTGATTTTGTTTTTTTGTTTTTTTGCAATCAAAGCCAAGTGCAGACAACGACAAGCATGAGGGAGAAAAAAAAAACACAAAACAAACGAAGAAATGAGGGATTGCAAGACAACAAAAAACATAAAAGCAAGACAGAACAACACAAAGCAGAAAGCCAAGGCAAAGCACAGATTAGCATTAAATGTCTCAAATGGGATCACAAGTAGTAAATGATTACTGCAAATAAAAGCAAAAGTTTCAATTACACAGACCCATATCCTTTCATTTCAGCAATTAACGCTATGTGATGTAAATAATCAAAAGGAGGAAGAAGGATAAATATACCAGGGAGAGAAAAGCTGCTGCTCACTACCTAAATATAGGAATCACACTTCTTCCCACTTATAAAACAAAAAACGACAGCCCCCCAACCCTACTCCTTTAAAAGCCCACTATAGATACAGTTGCAGAAAACAATAATGTAAAAACAACCATGGCCAGATGCGGTGGCTCAAGCCTGTAATCCTAGGACTTTGGGAAACCAAGGTGAGTGGATCACCTGAGGTCAGGAGTTCGAGACCAGCCTGCCCAACATGGTAAAACCCTGTCTCTACTAAAAATACCAAAATTAGCTGGGCATGGTGGCACACGCCTGTAATTCCAGCTACTTGGGAGGCTGAGGCAGGAGAATCACTTGAACCTGGCAGGCAGAGGTTGTGGTGAGCCAAGATCATGCCACTTCACTCTAGCCTGGGTAAAAGAGCGAGACTCCTTCTCAAAAAAATAAAAACAAAACAAAAAACCACCATGGATTAAAAGACAAAATTTCTTTCTTATCCCAAGGAAGCCTTAAGTAAAGCAACTGCTTTCTGGCCAGGCATGGTGGCTCTTATCTATAATACCAGCACTCTGGGAGGCTGAAGCAGGCAGAACGCTTGAGCTCAGGAGTTTGAGACCAGCCTGGGCATCATGTTAAAACCCCGTCTCCACAAAAAATTAGCTGAGTGTGTGTGGTGACACGTGCTTGAAGTCTCAGCTACTTGGGAAACTGAGTTAGGAGGATCACCTGAGCCAGCGAGAGGCAGCGGCTGCAGTGAGACAAGATCACGCCACTACACACCAGCCTGGTGACAGAGTGAAACCCTATCTCAAAAAACAAAGAAAAAAAAATGGTTTACTGAAAAGCCTGCAGAAGCAGTTAAATACTGACTAGAGCCATCAAGTGGACACATTTTAAAAGGAAGGGATGTGTGCAGGTACATGATTAAAGGTGGCTTGGTGCAAAGATAAACACTTTAGACTGCTGTTTTAGTAAATATGAGAGAAGTTTGTCAAGTTACTTGCTTTTTCAACCATAAGGTACTTATACATTTGACTCTCACCTTTTCTAGGTTTCAAATGAGTAAAAACCTAGATTTTTACTCACTGCAAAAGCAAAGCATTAAGTCTACAAAGCATTAGAAGCACATCTAACTTTTTGTAAATAAAATAAGTTTAAGTGATTTTTCAAAGCTAGAAATACATCTGCATCACACAAGTTCAGCAAAAACCAACACCATGGATTTGGTATTAACAAACAAAGAGTATTAGTACTATCCAGCCTTGTTATTACTGTTATCAGAGCCCCAAATAAACACCCAATGCAAACTATATTGTAGGCTGATCACTGAAAACAGGAGACAAATTGTGGTTAAGATAGGCTAGTGAATGCAGTTGGCGTGGTAGCTCACACCTGCAATCCCAGCACTTTGGGAGGCTGAGGTGGGCGGATCATGAGGTCAGGAGACTGAGACCATCCAGGCCAACATGGTGTAACCTCATCTCTACTAAAAGTACAAAAATTAGCTGGGTGCGTTGGTGCGTGCCTGTAATCCCAGCTACTTGGGAGGCTGAGTCAGGAGAATCACTTGAACCAGGGAATCGGAGGTTGCAGTGAGCCAAGATCTTGCCATTGCACTCCAGCCTGGTGACAGAGCGAGACTCCGTTTTAAAAAAGATAGATTAGTGAATGTGATTTATGTGATTACAGCCATTGATTGGGCAGGAGGAAATTAGGCAGAGGTGCTTAGTTTATTAGACTCAAAATGTCCTCTGTCATATGCAAGGCTGTGTTGGGAAAAGTAAGGTACAGAACTATTTGAGATTTTCCTTTCAATTTGCTTAATATGAGGCACATAAAAGACTCCAGAATCCTGTTTTCATATATTCCAAGAACAACTCAGCGGTAGGCCTCATATAAAAGGGAAACATTTTCAAAACGCTGTCCAGCTAGTTTCAGAAGTTTGAAAATCATCTCCGTTTTGCCTCAGGCTGTGATGATCAATTAAGAACACAGTAGAAAGGGATGTGGGGCCTGGGATACAGACCCATCTACGTCAACAACTCACAAAGTTGCTTAACTTCTCAGAGTCTTGGGAGGAAACCATGGCAACTGATGCAAGGCTATTCTGATAGAAAATTTTCTAATTCTGTAAACAAAGGCAGAAGGCAAAAAACAGAACTTGTGCTATACAGCTGTCTTCAAGCAAGATACACATGAACCATGACTGTATGTGTGCTGGTCCATCCGCAGGCACTCCCTGAACATGTGGACACATGGACCATGGCCCACACCTGGCCAAGCTTACCTGTTCTGGTAGCTGTAGTAAGTGGCATCACGAGGTATTGTGCATAACTGTTTGCCGTAGCAACACAGTGTCTGTGGAGAGAACTCCAACTGCAAAAGAAACCGTTCGTTAAAAAGCACAGAGGCCTTAAGGACAAACTATAATAGTAAGTATGGCAAATCACAGACAAAAGTCAATGGTGTCTTAGTTCTCATTTATGTTCATTATAATGGGCTATTCAGTTTCTGAAAATCATGCTCAGTTTACTTCTACATCATTTCAAAACGCTGAGGTAGGCTTGGCAGTCATATCCTTCCATCACTTTTATCAAAGAACCCAACAGGAATAGCTGGGCATGGTGGCGCTTGCCTGCAGTGCTCAGGAAGCCAAGGTGGGAAGAACCAGCTTAGGAAACAGAGCAAGACCCCAATCTTATTTTAAAAACAAAAAACCAACAATGTGAAGTGATATGTACTGAAAAGCCAACAGATGCTGAGGAATCTGCTCCTACAGCTGAATGCCTCTACTCCAGATGAGCTCAGTGTGTTGTTGATTCAGCATTTAATTGGTCAACTTTTCCATACAATTGACCCCTGTGAAAAAATGCCTTTAAAGAAACTCTATTTCATATTAACAGCTATTACTACCATGGCAAACATTAAGAGAAAGACTGTGTGAGCTGGGAGAGGTGGCTCATGCCTATAGTCCCAGTTGCTCAGGAGGCTGAGCTGGGAGAACTGCTTGAGCCCAGGAGGTTGAGACTGCAGTGAGCTATGACTTCACGGCTGCACTCTAGCCTGGGAGACAGAGTAAGACCCTGTCTCGAATGAATGAATGAACGAATAAGCAAGCCATGTCAAAGCCAGAAGTCAGATATTCTCTTACCATAGTCATCACTTTATTATTCTAGGTATTCTCAAAAAGTCACAAATTTGAAACACATTTCTTACCTTTCTGCCACAACAGTATCCAAGGCTTTGCATCACTGGGTCAATTTCCTGTTCAAAGACCTCAGATAGTTTGGAGCAGTATTTGTATACCCGTGATGTTTTCCGGTTGTATAACCAGGCATTATTGAACATAAGCCAAATATCATCAACATATTGCCAGGGCTCCTGATACTGTCCAGTGTCTAACTTCCTCTTAATTGTAGAAAGATCCATAGGGCTCTTCACAATATCAAAGTAATCCTACAAAGAAGACAAGTGACATCAAACATTAGTCAAGTCTAACTATATTTATGGGAGATGGAGTATCATCCATTATCATGGTTAATCTTTGAGGTAGTGTTTTAGTTTCTGACCTGTCTATATTCCCCAAGAGGTGACTGATGTCCGATACTTCTTTAAATCATCAGTCTACAGAGATACTAACCTACTCAAAGGGCAGAAAAACAGAACTACTATGGACTTTCTAGACATCAGGCTGACAGTTTACTGAAACTAATCCAGGTACTTTATGAATGTATATGTCATATCAGTCAAGTCAAAGATATTTAAAATTTTAGTACTAGAAGAGGTGTACAATTAGGAAACTAAGCCTACAGAACTTAAAGTGTTCCATCTGAAATCACAGCAAGATACAGGAGGAGAAAATTCCTAAAACCTTTTGCCTCTGGAAGCACTTGACTTTTTTTTTTTTTGAGGCAGAGTTTCGCTTTTGTCACCCAGGGTGGAGTACAATGGCACGATCTCGGCTCACTGCTACCTCTGCCTCCTGGGTTCAAGCAATTCTCCTGCCTCAGCCTCCTGAGCAGCTGGGACTACAGGTGTGTGCCACCATGCCCAGCTAATTTTTGTATTTTTGGTAGAGATGGGGTTTCATCACATTAACCAGGATGGTCTCGATCTCTTGACCTCGCGATCCACCCGCCTTGGCCTCTCAAAGTGCTGGGATTATAGGCGTGTGCCACCGCGCCCAGCCTAGCACTTTTGAGACAGAATCTCAGTCTGTTGTCCAGGCTGGAGTGCAGTGGTGCGATCTTGGCTCACTGCAACCCCCGCCTCCCAAGTTCAAGCAATTCTCCTGCCTCAGCCTCCCAAGTAGCTGGGATTACAGGCATGTGCCACCATGCCCAGCTAATTTTTGTATTTTTAGTAGAGATGGGGTTTCACTACGTTTGGCCAGGCTGGTCTCAAACTCCTGACCTCAAGTGATCCACCTGGTTTGGCCCCCTAAAATGATGGGATTACAGGCATGAGCTACAGGGCCCAGCCCAGTAACAGTTTAAAACCCCCAAATGATACCTGCCAGCGGCCTAGTATGTGGAAGCAACTTTAAAAACAAAAATAACTGGGGTCCATTTTTCTGCTATGATCTATTGGCTCTTAAAACAACAAAAGTAAATAAACTGTACTACCCAGGAATTCCACTTCTGGGTAAATATCAAAGAGAAATAAAAACATAAATCCACACAAAACTTGTACACCAATATTCACTGTATTGCAATCCCCGCCTCCCAAGTTCAAGCAATTCTGAGACGGAATTTCACTCTTGTTACCCAGGCTGGAGTGCAATGGCGCGATCTCGGCTCACTGCAACCTCCGCCTCCTGGGTTCAGGCAATTCTCCTGCCTCAGCCTCCTGAGTAGCTGGGATTACAGGCACGCGCCACCACGCCCAGCTAATTTTTTGCATTTTTGGTAGAGACGGGGTTTCACCATGTTGACCAGGATGGTCTCAATCTCTTGACCTCGTGATCCACCCGCCTCGGCCTCCCAAAGTGCTGGGATTACAGGCTTGAGCCACCGCGCCCGGCCTTGTAGTACTATCTTAATAGTCAAAAAGTGTAAACTACCCAAATGTCTACCAACTAATCAATGGGTAAAGAAAATATGTATAATGGAAAATTATTGGCTATAAATAGGTATGAGGTACTGATTCATGCTACAACATGGATGAACCTTGAAAACATTATGCTAAGGGAAAGTTCTGGCACAAAGAATCACATATTGTATGCTTAATTTAATTAAGTGTGTAGAACAGACAGATCCAGAGACAGAATGCAGTTTGGTGATGGTCTAGGATTGGGGTGCTATGGGAGAAAATGGTGAGTGTACCATTAAATCCTGTTAATGGTACAGGATTTTTTTGAATGATGAAAATAAAAGTCTCATGCACAACTCTGTGAATATACTAAGAATCACTGAATTAGGCCAGGCCTGGTGGTTCATGCCTATAATTTCGGCACTCTTGTTTTTTTTTTTTTTCCCCCCCGAGACGGAGTTTCACTCATGTGACCCAGGCTGGAGTGCAATGGCGCGATCTTGGCTCACTGCAACCTCCGCCTCCTGGGTTCAGGCAATTCTCCTGCCTCAGCCTCCTGAGTAGCTGGGATTACAGGCACGTGCCACCATGCCCAGCTAATGTTTTGTATTTTTAGTAGAGACAGGGTTTCACCATGTTGACCAGGATGGTCTCGATCTCTTGACCTCGTGATCCACCCGCCTCGGCCTCCCAAAGTGCTGGGATTACAGGCGTGAGCCACCGCGCCCGGCCTAATTTCGGCACTCTTAAGAGTCTGAGGTGGGCCAACTGCTTGAGTCCAGGAGTTCAAGACCAGCTTGGGCAATATGGTGAAACCCCATCTCTACTAAAAAATGCAAAGAACTAGCCAGCTGAGGTGGCACATGCCTGTAGTCCCAGCTACTCAGGAGGCTAAAGTGGGAGAATCATCTGAGCCCAAGAGGTAGAGGCAGTAGTGTGCCAAGATCGAGCCACTGCACTGCAGCCTGGGCAACCAGATTAAGACTGTCTCCAAGCCGGGCGCGGTGGCTCATCCTGTAATCCCAGCACTTTGGGAGGCCGAGGCGGGTGGATCACGAGGTCAAGAGATCGAGACCATCCTGGTCAACATGGTGAAACCCCGTCTCTACTAAAAATACAAAAAAATCAGCTGGGCATGGTGGCATGTGCCTGTAATCCCAGCTACTCAGGAGGCTGAGGCAGGAGAATTGCCTGAACCCAGGAGGTGGAGGTTGCGGTGAGCCAAGATCGCGCCACTGCACTCCAGCCTGGGTAACAAGAGCAAAACTTCGTCTCAAAAAAAAAAAAAAAAAAAATCACTGAATTATACATTTGAAATGAGTGGCTGTATACTATTTGGAATGTGAATTATCTCTCAATAAAGCTGTTATCAAATTAAAAAACAAAATCAGAAGTACCAACAGATACTTACAGGGATTCCTAAAAGCTGAGGGTCCACAGGTTGACGAAAAGGAAGGGATTCTGGATCCTGACGGTAAAGTGCCTCCAATGTTGGCATCAGTGCCTGTCGTAGTTCTTCTGGTTTGAAAACTTTGGGAAAAAAAGTATATCTGAAATTAGTTATCAATTAATCAAAAGAAGTTTTAAAAACCATGGAGGTTGAAGCTCTAAAAGCATCTCAGAATCAAATAACACAAAATTAACTACTCTGTCCCCATGGAAATATCACTAAGGGCTTAATTACTGATTCTAAGTGCTGCTCTGCTTCAGGCAGCTCCTAAAAAGTGTGCCTTACCACCTTTAAACACCCTTCACCCTCAGCTTAACTTTTCAGTCACAAATTCAGCGAAGACAGATTTGGTCAATTGGAAACAGAATCCAAAGGTTTCTAAAAATTTATGAAGAGACTTTGCTAAATGAGAGTCCACAGGGCCAGGAACAGTGGCTCGTGTCTATAATCCCAGCACTTTGGCAGGCTGAAGTGGGCGGATCACTTTGAGGACGGAAGTTTCAGCCTGGCCAACATAGTGAAACCTTGTCTCTACTAAAAATACAAAAAAATATAGTTGGATGTGGTGGCACGCTATTCTCAACTACTCAGGAAGCTGAGGCAAGAGAACTGTTTGAACTTGGGAGTCAGATGTTGCAGTGAGCTGAGATTGCGTCACTACACTCCAGTCTGGGAAACAGGATGAGACCCCATCTCCAAAAAAAAAAGAAAAAAAAAAAAAAAAAATTAAATGAGACAATGTGGGTACTTAGCACACAAGAGGTAAATGATAAATGCTATTATTATTGCTAGTCTTTCCTGTATTTTAGTCAAGGCTATTTACAAACATTTCTCTTTTGAGAAAGATAATTTTTTGTTTTTTTTTGAGAGAAGTCTCACTCTGTTGCTCAGGTTGGAGTGCGGTGGCGCGATCTCGGCTCACTGCAACCTCCGCCTCCCAGGTTCAAATGATTCTCCTGCGTCAGTCTCCTGTGTAACTGGGATTACAGGCACGTGCCACCACACCTGGCTAATTTTTGTATTTTTGGTAGAGACAAAGTTTCACCGTGTTGGTCAGGCTGGTCTCCAACTCCTGACCTCAAAGTGATCCGCCCACCTCAGCCTCCCAAAGTGCTGGGATTACAGGTGCGAGCCACCGTGCCTGGCCAAAGAGAACGTTTTTAGAGGGTGCTAACCAAGGAACTCTGAAGAAATGAGGGGAATGACTAACTCAAAGGTTGCTGCAAGTGAATATAACTTAAAAAAAAAAAGAAGAAAAGAAACGAAAAGAAAAAAAATATTAGTAACAATGAAGAGACCAGGCCCAGGGCTTCAAGGTTAATGAAATCACATTAATGGCAACTTCTGAGGCCCAAGAGGCATGATCGCAATTCTGCCTTGGGTCTTTGGTTTCTTCAGCTACTTCTAGAACCAACAGCCTAAGAGACTCAACTCTTTTTCTTTGACTGTCCCGGAGCTGGAGATGACTGGGTAGCTGAAGTACTTGACTGGTCTTCCTCCTCTTTTATTTCAGTTTTTGATTCAGTGCCTCTCTCTTCTGTTTCTGTAGGTTCCACTTTACAGTCATCTACTTTAGACTAAAAGAAAAGGTAAGGGATTTTAGTATTCCAAAAATATCTACTTGGGAATCAAGAAGATCACTATCATTCATTACATCATTTACTCTCCCCTATGGATGTAATCTCACCACCCTTTCTCATGCCATGAGATGTAATTATCAAAATATTCTGCAGTATTTTTTAAAAATTGGGTTCCCAGACTGAGGTCCTAACCACATCAAATAGTAACTGCCCTACTCTCACCTCCGTAATATCCTCCGGCTGAGTATCTGCTGGTTCTGGTTGATCCACCTCCATTTTAGCCTCCATTTTCATTTCCTGGGAAGGTTGCTTCTCAGGAATGGTCTGAGAATTCACTTCTGTGCTACTAGTAGATGGAGGGTTTGATACCTGTCCTTCAATACTTACAGCTGGCTGGGAAAGCTAGGCAGAAAAAAAGGGGAGTGGGTGAGACACATACACAGAGTTTGCCAATGATACAATCTGAGTGTAAGGTAAGCAACAGGACAGCAGAATTAAACACATTTCTTGGCTTATATTCATTCATGGCGCCTTCATTTGCCTGCTCATTTCACCTCCTTTAATTATGCTTAAGAACAGGAGAATTAAGACTTGTAAATACTGGTTAGCTGGGTGTACATCCAACAGCCAGCAACTATTTCACTGATAACTATCATTCTCTGGCCGTGTGGGGGTTTCAAAGATGTCTGCTTCAGAGGAGCTCACATTTATACAAAAATGGGATGAAAGAAAATAACAAAACTGGCTATCTTTTTTGTTTTTACCTTCTCATTACATAAAGTTTCAAACATACAGAAAAAGAGAATAAATACAATGATGTCCGACAGAGTGGCCGTTTTGAATCACTAGATTCTAATAAGGTAACTGGCAATCCCTATCATCTTCCTAAGTCTTAAGAAACCTCTTAATGAGAAGTCAGTATTTTCTGGAACTACCCTTAATTTTATAAAGAATAAAATCAATCAGATCTACTGGTTCCTCTTTCTGTTCTTCCTTGTCTGTCAGAGGCCACGATGAACCAGCCATCCATCAACTACAGTATTTTATAAAATGGCTGTGACACATGGGATTTCTCAGTTCAAACTACTGAGGACTAATATATTACTATCGATATCAAAGTAGAAGCTGCTAAACCCTTAACAAAAAGAGTTCTATTAATAAGGACTCAACTATTATGTGAGAATTTGAATTTTTATTATATGCATAATCAACTTCTCACAAGTGAGCTACAGGTTGTTCTGGGTCTGTAATTCTCTCATCTTAGATGATTTTTTAATTTTGGATAGGGCCACAGGGACTCATAAATCTGAGATTTTTTTTTTAAGACAGAGTTTTGCTGTCGCTTAGGCTGGAGTGCTGTGGGTGCCACCTTGATCACTGCAACCTCCAACGCCTCCCAGGTTTAAGCAATTTTCTTGCCTTAGTCCCCCAAGCAGCTGGGATTACAGGCACTCGCTAACATATCTGGCTAAATTTTGTATTTTTTGTAGAGACGGGGTTTCACCATGTTGGCCAGGCTGGTCTTGAACTCCTGACCTCAAGTGATCTGCCCGTCGTGGCCTCCCAAAGTGCTGGGGTTACAGGTGTAATCCACCACGCCTGCCCGACTCTAGAATTTTAAAATTCAGTCTCTTAAGTTTCACAGCTCAAACTGTTTGAAAAAAATTCTTTAAATATATGTCATATTTATATTATAAGGAAGAGGACTGTGTCCCCTTGTCATACCTCTTTACATACCTTCAACCTCAGAGTACAACACGAAACATAATGGTCAAAGTCAGATCTAAATAAAATCTTTATGATCCTGTTACAATAGGTCCTATCACAGGAAGGCAAAACGAGATAAGAAAGTCCCTAATGAAAAAGAGATTACATTCTACTTGTGGAGAAAACAGTAAGCGATCAAATAAAAGAGAATAATAGAAACGGCCCAGAAGTAATATAATACTACAGTGTAATTCTAATGATTCTGCCTAAATCCAAATCTCTACTTACTGGAGTTGCAGGCTGTGGAGGAAGCAGCGGTGCTGTTGGGGTGGGAACAGAGGCTGCTGTGCTCTGCTGTGAGCGAGGCTGCTGCTGGGACTGGTCAGCTGAAGGAGCAGCAGGAAGTGAAGACTGCACTTGTGGGGTAAGTTGTGTTGTTGGTGGTGTAGGTGTCTGCCTTGGAGGGGGATGTAAAGCCTGGGACTGTGGCCCAGATGGCATGGCAGGAGGCGTGGGAACAGGCGCTGGAATTGCTGTTGCTGGTGGCTGCTGCGCCCCTATGCTTGGGGGAGTATGGTGGGGGGTAGGGGTACGACTAGGTACAGGCGAGGGGGAATTCTGATGCAGAGCTGGTTGAGGAAGCTGGGGACAGTGAATGTGGCTCCCCTGAGACCCTGGAGGCATTATAGGAGAGTTCACTGGGCAGGAAGAACTAGACATTTGTGCCTGTTAAAAAAACATAACAAGATAGCAATTCAAAACAGAAGGAAATATTTACACAGGCATGTTATTTGCATTTAGGACACAAACTGATTAAACAAACAGTAGCAATGTATCTATTTCATAATGTGTAAAAATCCTATTACTGGGGATATATCTTTGGACAGCACCATCAATAGAGTACTTAACTAAAGAGACTTCAAACCATTCAGCAGAATGGCCTTAGCCACTGCAGAAAAATGGCAGAATTGAGTGCATAGTGCTCTAGAGCCTCCCTATGCTCTCTTCAGCCAGAGTTCCTTCTGTGCTCTAGTAAATTCTAAGATTTTACTTTAAAAGTGTTTACTACAAAAAAAATTAAAACCATCCATTTACTTCCTAATTTGTAACACCACCATTGCTACGTCACAGAATAATCTCTTCATGTTCTGAATGCCCTAAGTACAAAATTGTTATTTTTTAAAGAATCATCTGTTTTCAGCCATTATTTGCTCCCAGTCTTTCCTATAAAAACCTAAGTCAAGAGAAGTTTCAAGAATCGAAAATAAGTTTAAAAAAAAAAAAAAAAATCCACTTATAAGACATACTTGAGACACTGGAGCTTGACCGCTGGACGGAGCCAAAGGCATATTTGTTACATTCATTCCCTGTGATGGGAACTGAGTCTGAGGAAGGAACTGGCTCTGGCTGGAAGGCTGCTGCATACGAGGCCCATAGCCCATAGGCTGCAAAAAACCAGAGAGCACCAAACTATTCATTCTACTATAACTGAAATCATCAAATGCTCCTAATGTCAGGCTTATTAAGCAGAGAAAAGTCAAAGACAGGAGTATAGGTGAAAAGGGCTGGAGAAGAATAGGAAGAAAGTTGTGGAACAACTGACTCTTGTGCCAAGATAAACGGGGATAGCCTCACAGCTTACCTAGGCATATTCTCAAGTAATAGTAAGGATGCGACAAACACACATTATCTTGGTATACAAATATACCTAGCACTCTAACAAGGATAGCAGGCAACTTTCTTTGCATGCTCTAAGTGAGGAGAGTGAATCACAATTTCATGAGCTCACGTCAGTGATGTAGTAATAGCACAAATTCTTTTTTTTTTTTTTGAGACGGAGTTTCACTCATGTTACCCAGGCTGGAGTGCAATGGCGCGATCTCGGCTCACCGCAACCTCCGCCTCCTGGGTTCAGGCAATTCTCCTGCCTC